CTTCGACATCTCATTCCATCCGCCGAGGTTAGTCTTTTTTTCATTCCATATTTCTTATATAATGAGTCAAAAAAGTAGTGAACGAACTCATAGTGTTCACATGTCTGATTCTGAGTCGGGAACTGTGGCGGCGAGTCTGAGCGATTATGCTGAGGGTCCCATAGTCTTCCCTGCAAATGTTGTAGAAAGGAAGTCCTTTTCGATTTCTCAGTTGAGAAAGAAGAATCGTGTTCCTTCTGACGTTACCCTTGAGGAATATGACCATGATTTAAACTTTAGTATAGGTAAGGGTTTGGAGGAGGGCGAAATGCTTTTCTCGGCTTTGTATTTTCTCGCCTTTCAATTCCCCTTGAACCCTTTTTATCTTCAGGTTTTGTCGGTGTTGAATTTGGCTCCTCTTCAGGTTAACCCTAATTTCTTCTGCATTCTTTCCTGTCTTCTTGCTCTGAACAGGGTTCGAGGTTTAACCTTGACTCTTGCCGACCTTCTATTTTGTTACTCGCTTGATAAGTTGAAGGGAGGTGAGGGTAGGTTTCACCTTCACTCTATACCGGGTAGAACTCTTTTCTCTCACCTTAATACCTCTGACAAAGAGTGGAAGTACAAAATTGTTAAAGTCGGAGGGGCGTGGCGGTCTTCTTCCATTCGGGATTTATTCGTCCGATTAAGCTTTCATGCCCCATCTGTTCCCGCATTTGATGATTCGGCCGAGTCTTCTTGCTTTGTTTGCGTTGTAAGCATTTTTGTTGTATATATAACTTCCTAGGTCACAAAACTAACTTTTTCTCTTTGAAATTTGCAGATAGTCATCTTGCCTACTTACAAGAAAGAGTTTGGAGCAACGTTCCTTCTGCCAAGACCCTTCTCTCCTCTTCTATTCTTGAGGTGATCTCGAGAGATCCTCCAGTAATTGCTTTAAATCCCGAAGAGCCCATTGACCTTGTCGCTTCCGACTCCGAGGTTATCTTATCGCCTGCCCCCCTTACCCTCTCTTAATCAGTGATAGAACTCCCTCCTCCAAAACCCCGTACGACGAAGAAGGAATGGGAGGCAGCCGCTAAGTTGTTACAAGAAAGGAAGAACCTTCTTGTTGAGGTGGGCAGGCTTTCTCCCTCTCAAAAGCAGAAAGGGGCCCAGTCGGGGACTAAGTGTCCATCAGCGAAGGATGACTCTTCTTCGAAGCATCCCAAGTTAATGGCTGGGGCCTTTGGAGGAAAAATTGCTTTGATTCCTGGCGCTGCTGATGTCGCTGGGGGTGATTTCGCGGGGTCTACTGAGAAGTGGTTCCCCGAAATAATGAAGTCTGATGGGTCCCCCACCATCATTGGTGACTCTGGAGCCGAAGACCTGGAGACGTTGATGGGTTTGGCTAGAGGGATGTGGCCTCCCAGAGATGAAATTTTACAACAACAGATAAGCATTGATGATCTGTTATCCCTTGCTCCCAAATTCATAATGGAGGTAACCTTCCCTCTGTTCCTTTTTTTTTTTTTTTTTTTAAAAAAAAAAAAAAGTTCCATGTTACTTTTGCGCAAAGCTCTTTCTTGATGTTTGCTCTTATAAAGAAACTCTCAGCTGACTCCCTTCATGCGAACCAGTCTGCTACCCTTCAGAAGAGGGTAAGTGCTTTGGAGGCTTCTCTCGCTGAGGAGAAGAGGGAAAAAGCTCAACAGCTGAAGTCAATTGAGTATTTTGGCAAAAGAGCTAGGGAGCTTGAGAACAAAGCTGCTGAGCTTGACCTGCAGCTTGGGAAAGCAAACCCTCTTATTCAAACCTGCAAGGATGGAGGTTTAGAGATGTTTGACTGTTTTTCCCAGATTGTGAATCTCCGTTATGCCAATGGCTTCAGGCTTGTTTTGCTCAGAGGCAGCTTCCTTCTAGGGAGAGAGATTATGGTGATGCTGACGAGCATGATGCCGAACAGGGGCTCTTGGTTGCAGGTGAGTATGCCGAGCCTTAGGCTGGCCCTAGAGAGATATAGTTTGCTGCTGTGCTGAAGGGTGAGGTGTCTGGCGAGGTTCCGCCTCCTCTCCATTACCCTTCAGGTTCTCAAGGGTTACCTGCCTTGTCGTTTGATACCCCTTCTTCTGTTCCTGCCAGAGTAGAGTTGGTTGATGCATTTACGCAGAGGTTCAATGCAGAGGGTAGAGCTGTGCCCGATAGTGATCCTGCGTAACTTCCCTTTTTTTTTTTTTTTGGAGGTGTTGGGTATGCCCTGCCTATTTTGTAAAAACCTTCACTTATTTGTTAGAACATAAAGGTTTTCTTTTGAAAATCTTTGGGATTGTTTTTGCTTATATTATTGCTTGTGGTTCTACGTATTTGTCTGATTTGCAATTAACGTTCGGGCGTTAGGCATTTTTCGCCTATTTAGCGATTGGCTCCTGGAGCCGTTCGGCTTTTTTGTTTTTTGTCTTGAGCGACTTATCCGGTCAAGCCTGTTCGGGCATTAGGCTCTTGGGGCCTTTGCTTATTTTGTGATAGGCTCTTGGGGCCGTTCGGCGTTTTGGAACTTGAGCAGTTTATCCAATCAAGCCCGTTCAGGTGTTAAGCTCTTGGGCCCTTTGCCTATTTTGCGATTGGCTCTTGGGGCCGTTCGGCTTTTTTAGACTTGAGCGGTTTATCCGGTCAAGCCTGTTCGGGTGTTAGGCTCTTAGGGCCTCCACCTATTTTGCGATCGGCTCTTGGGGCCGTTAGGCTTTTTTGGACTTGAGCAGTTTATCCGGTCAAGTCTGTTCAGGCGTTAGGCTCTTGAGGCCTTCGTCTATTTTGCGATCGGCTCTTGGGGCCGTTCGCCTTTTTTGGACTTAAGCGATTTATCCGGTCAAGCCTGTTTGGGCATTAGGCTCTTGGGGCTGTTCGGCATTTTTGGACTTGAGTGGTTTATCCGGTCAAGCCTGTTCAGGCGTTGGGCTCTTGGGGCCTTCGCCTATCTTGCGATCGGCTCTTGGGGGCGTTCGGCTTTTTTGGACTTGAGCGATTTATCCGGTTAAGCCCGTTCGGGTGTTAGGCTCTTGGGGCCTTCGCCTATTTTGTGATCGGCTCTTGGGGCCGTTCGGCTTTTTTAGACTTAAGCAGTTTATCCGGTCAAGCCCTTTTAGGCATTGGGCTCTTGGGGCCTTTGCCTATTTTGCGATCGGCTCTTGGGGCCGTTCGACTTTTTTGGACTTGAGCGGTTTATCCGGTCAAGCCCGTTCGAGCGTTGGGGTCTTGGGGCCTTCGCCTACTTTGCAATCGGCTCTTGGGGCCATTCCGCCTTTTGGACTTGAGTGGTTTATCTGGTCAAGCCCGTTCGGGCGTTGGGCTCTTGGGGCCTTCGCCTATTTTACGATCGGCTCTTTAGGCCGTTCGTCTTTTTTTTGGACTTGAGTGGTTTATCCGGTCAAGCCCGTTCGTAAGTCCGTCTTGAGAGGGAAGTCCTCGTGCTGAACCCCTTTTTATTCGGCCTTTTTTGTGTGGGCGTTCCCTTGCTGACGTTTAAAATTTAAACGATTTCTGTCTTATAGAAAACCCATTTTCTGTTTAAAGTGAGATAAGGATTTAAAAAGAAGTGACCTATCCCAAAAGAAAACGGGGAAGACCCTACATTACGGACCCCCTCTGATAATGAGCTGAGACTACCCATGGGCCTCATAATTTAGGGCCCTCACCCACTGATTGTACACCCGACAGGTTATATTAAAATAATAAGGGATTCTTTTCCTTTTTTGTTGATGTGGGACTGTACTTTCCAAAAAAGGGGAAACTATGTAGGGAGTGTATGGAGACCTTTGACAATGGGGCACTTCAGTGTCGTAAGTGGGGTCCCATTATCAATGGGTCCCACACACTGATAGGCACTTAAGTGTGGATCCTTATAAGAAAAGGGTTAGATTCCATTTTTTGAGCGATGTGGGACATCGTTTCTCATAGGTGATAAGACCTTATTTATGGTAAGATAAAAGATAAAAAGTGTAAAGTGGAGACCCCTGATGGTGGGTCCCGTTATAGGTCGTATACCATCAGGGGGTCCACTCCACTATTTAGATCTCGTGTTATTCTACTTTAAATAATAGTCAGAAGTTTTGTTTTTATTCGATGTGGGACATTTGAAAAAGGCTATCAGCAGCTTTATTTATTCAAAAAGTAGAATACTGGAAAACACTGTACGATTTACTTTATTGAAAGTACCTTTTCAGGCTCATTGTATTCCTCGGCTTGGTCATTTCGGTGCCATCCAAGTGTCGAAGTCTGTAAGCTCCTTTTCTAATCACATCTGATATTCGGTATGGCCCTTCCCAGTTAGGTTCCAATTTGCTGACGTACTTTTCTGATTTCAGGAGCACCAGATCTCCTGGATTGAAGCTTCTCCTTCTGACCCTTTTTTATAACTATTTGCTATCTTTTGCTGGTAGGCTGCTAGTAGGATGGCTGCGGCTTCCCTTTTTCCTTCCAATAGATCCAGACTATGTTCCAGAAGCTGATTATTTGACTCCTAGTTCCAAGCTAAGCTTTGGATGATGGGTGCCACCACTTCGGTGGGGATTACGCCCTCGGTGCCGTAAGCTAGAGAGAGAGGGGTTTCACCAGTGGGACGTCTCGGGGTGGTTCTGTATGCCCATAGGACATTTGGCAATTCTTCTAACCACTTCCCTTTTTTTATCTTCAAGCTTCTTTTTGATGTAGGCAAAGATCGTCCTGTTGGTTATCTCCGCCTACCTATTGCCTTGGGGGTGGTATGCAGCTGACACTTTTTGGTTGATACCGTACTTGTCAAAGAAATGTTGAGTGTATTGATTATCCAGATTCGGCCTGTTGTCCATGGTAATGGATTTTGGGATTCCGAATCTGCATATCAGGTTGTTCCAAACGAATTTTTTCACTTGGACGTTAGTCACACTCGCATATGCCTCTGCTTCTACCCATTTAGTGAAATAATCAGTGGCTAACAAGGCGTACCTTTTCTGTGATGCCGCCATTGGTAAGGGTCCTACCATGTCCATTCCCCATTGTGCGAATGGCTATGGGCTGCTCATGGTGTCTATATCTTCCGGGGGTAATTGACGAGGGGGAATACCTTTGACACTTGTCGCATCTGCGAGAGTATTCTTCTGCTTCCCTTGCCATGTAGGGCCAAAAATAACCTTGAGTGAGAGCTTTATGAGCCAACGACCTGCCCCGAAATGATTCCCGTACTCCTCTTCATGTATCTGTTTTAAAACTTCTCGGGACTCCGTTGGGGTCAGACACTTGAGGTAGGGTCCAAAATGTGATCGTCTAAAGAGCTGTCCTCCTACCACAGAATATATAGCGGCTTTCATCCTTAGCTGCCGGGCTGCTTCCTTAGAATTAGAGAGTTCTCCTCTCTCAAGGTAAGCCAATATCGGATCTATCCAGCTTGGTTCCCATGGGATAACCAACACTTGCACACCCCTTGTGATGCTCGGTGTTTCTAGGACATTAATGGGGACGACTCTAGTGAGTGACTCGTCCCCTAGGGATACTGCATTCGCCAAACGATCAGCTATTGGGTTTTCTTCCCTAGGGATCTGCTGAAATTTGATTGTATCAAAGTACTTTGTCATTTTTTTAACTTCTTCTTGGTATACATTCATTCTGCACTCTCTGGTGGTGTACTCTCCCGTCACCTGCCTTATGATGAACTGTGAATCGCTATAGGCTTTAAGGTGCTTTACTTGGAGTTCCTTGGCCAATCTGAGTCCTGCCAGCAGTGCCTCGTATTCAGCTTCGTTGTTTGTAACTTAGAACTCTAGTCGGACTGACTGTTGGATTCTGGTCCCCTTGGGGGTTCTTATCTCTACTCCTGCTCTGGCTTCATTTTGACTTAAAGAACCATCGACGTATAATTCTCAGCAAGGCTCTTCCGTGGTTTGCTGTTCCTCCCCTGGGTTAATGTCCAAGAGAAAATCCGCAACCACTTGCCCCTTTTTAGCGATGCGCGATTCGTACCGGATGTCAAAGGAGCTTAATTCGATTGCCCATTTGGTGATCCGACCTGAGATGTCTGGTTTACTGAGAATTGCTTTGATAGGATGTATCGTGGGAACTATTATTCGATGCGCCTCAAAATAGTGTCGGAGTTTCCTTTTAGCTTGAACTAAAGCAAGGATGATTTTTTCTACCATTGAGTACCGGCTTTCTGCGTCGGTCATGGCCTTGCTGGAATAAAAGACCAGGTGTAACTTCTTTCCCACTTCTCTTACTAAGGCTGAGCTAGTTGCTGACTGAGATATTGCTAAGTAGAGGTACAACGGCTTTTCAGGTTCTGGAGCAGATCGAATTGGGGGACTTGTCATGTACTCCTTGAGTTTCACGAGAGCTTCTCTCTGCTCTGCCCCCCAGATATCTCCTTTTTTGGCTCTGATTGCGTCGAAGAACGGTTTGCACTTGTCTGATAGTCTGGATATAAAGTGGCTAAGAGTCGCTACTCTCCCGGTGAGGATTTGGACTTCCCTCACGGTTCGGGGCTTTTAACTCTGTAGCAATTTTGCTAACTGAGTGGGACTTACCTCTATTCCCCTTTTGCTCACCAGGTGATCGATGAACTGTCCCGAGGATACTCCGAACGAACATTTTGCTAGCTTTAACATCATTTTATGTTTCCTGAGAGTATCAAACACATTCTGCAGGTGTTGCTGATGATATTTCTTAACTTTGCTTTTCACCACCATATCGTCTATGTAAGTTTCGACCATTCGGCCGATCCGTTCTTGGAACATTTTGTTGAACAGCCTTTGATAAGTTGCTCCTGCATTTTTTAACCCGAATGGCATTAACTTGTAGCAATAGGTCCCCTATTTGGTGATGAAAGAAGTCTTTTCTTCGTCCGAAGGGTTCATCGGGATTTGGTTGTAGCCCGAGCAAGCATCAAGGAAAGTCATTTTTTCATATTCGGTCATGGCGTCTACCATCTGATCGATCTTGGGGAGTGGGAAGCTATCTTTTGGGCACGCTCTGTTCAGGTTGGTGAAGTCAATGCATACTTGCCATTTACCATTCTTTTTCTGGACAACCACCACGTTTGACAACCATTGAGGATACTGGACTTCTCTGATGAACCCTGTTTCTAAAAGTCAATTGACTTCTTCAGCAATAATTTTATTCCCGGGGTCCACGTTCAGGCTGTGACAGGCCATCCGTGGGTCAATTCCCAGCATATCCCAGTGATTCCAAGTGAAGATGTCTGCATTTTTCCTTAGGATTTCTACTAGTTCCTCCTTCTCCTGAACTGACTGGAGAGTCCCTATGAAGGTCAGCTTGTGCTCGTCCCCTACGACTATCTGCATGGCTTTTAGGCGTTCTACAGTAAAATGTTCTTCTTTCGGTTCCTCCGTTTCTTTTGTAGGGGAAGAGCTCGGTAATTACTATTTCAGCAATTTCTTATCTTTTTTGGAAGGATAAATCGTCGTGTGGTAGCAATCCTTTGCTGTTACCTGGTCTCTCAGATATCAATGACCTCTTGACCATTCGGGCTTATGCATCTCATGACTTGGTGCAGGGTTGATGGGACTCCTTTCATGCGGTGGATCCATCCTCGACCCATTAGCAAATTGTAGGTCGAGTGAATATCCACAATCACAAAGTTCTTTTTCAGAGATCTTTTAGCAGCAGTGACTGACAGCGTGATCACACCTGTGGGCTCCACTCTTTTTCCATGAATCCTACCAATGGACTTTTATTGGGACTAATCTGGTCTGCAGCTAATTTTAACTGATCAAATGCCCACTTTGTCATGATATTAGCGCTACTGCTGGGATCAATCAGTACTCGTCTGACCAGATAGTTGGCCATTAGTAGACTAACTACTAATGGGTCTTCGTGCGGGTGTTGCACCCTTCTGAGATCCCCTTTATGAAAAGAATCTTGTGCTGGATTAGGTTTGCAGTCGACAGTATTGATTTCCCCAATCCTTCGTAGCTTATGGACTTGCTTGAGCTAGATCCTGTAGAAATTTCCCGATTGCTCGTCTTCTTCCGGACGGCCATGAATTGTGTTAATTACCCGGACATTATGACTCTCTACCACGGCTTTTGGAATTGCCCGGACTCGTTCTTGTTGCCTTAGGGTAATCAAGTATTCAGTTAACTCGCCCTTAGCTATTAACGCTTCCACCTATCTTCTCAAGCTCCTACAATCATTGGTCAGGTGGCTGAAATCACTGTGGAATGCACAGTGTTTATTCTAGTCTCTTTACTCTATTGGTTATCTGATTGGTGGTGGGATCTGGAAGATGTTTCTTGCCTTGGTCTCTTGGAACAGTCTGGCCAATGTTACTTTAAGCGGCGTGATAGTTGCTTGGGATTTCTTTTCAGGGGCTCGTCCTTCAATAGTCAGGGGTTTTCGATGGGCCCGCGAGGTGCTCGATCGCTCATTCGATCGATTCTCTACTATGACCAGTGTCGCTCTCTACTGTCTAGTTACTTCATTTTCTTCAAGTCTGATGTAGTTTTGTGCATGTGAATTTAGCTTCGACATGTTAGTTGGGGTCTTCTTCACCAGAGAAGAATGAAAACGTGAGCCCTGCACCATGGCTATCTTGAACGCTTCTATGGCTGTGTCTTGATTGCAATCTGGTATGCCCGATGACTCCATGTTGAATCGGGTAAGGAAGGTTTGCAGGCCATCTCCCTTCATCTGCTGAATCATAAAGAGACTGGCAATGGTTTTCTTCCATTTCTTATTTCCACAATATTGGGCCAAGAACGCGACGCATAGTGATTCGAAGTTTGGGATTGATTTGCACAGGCGATTCTTAAACCACTCTAGGGCCACCCCCGTCAGGCTGGATAGAAATATTTTTTACATGAATAGGTCATTATGAGCCTCTAGTGTCATTTTCTGAGTACAGTGGTGATGCGACCCGAGCATGTGCACAAAATAATGCACAACACTTTAGGTTTAAAATTAATGTCAAGTGGGCATCATATTTTATAATTTATAAAACCACTAAACACTTATACTATGTAGTATGAAGCGAGTAGGGATCGAACCCAAGGGATTGAACACGTGTTGGGATTAAACTTGATTTTAGTGCTAATGAGATTGCACAAGAGAGATAGAGAAAGAGAGAGAGAGAGAAAAAGATTTTTCGTGAAGTGATTAAACTAGAGTTAAATCGAAAGCATGGAAATAGAAATGACAATGCAAGTAGAATTAAAGAGATATGAATAGAGTCTTAGGGTTAGGATTCACCATTAAGCTCATGCAATTAACCATATGCTTTCAATTAATGGGGAATTCATTAGTGTAATTATAGATGTAGCCACATTATTATCACAAATCACAATTGTAAGCATAGATTATCAACATCAAGAATGAATTGTCTACCTAATGACAATTAAACTAAAGTGTAGAACCCATTCAAGACTACGTCATAACCCACCATACACATTCACAAATGTATCCAATATGAGCACACATCAATCAAGAAGATAATACTAATTGTAATTAGAAGCATGGATTAAAATAATCAAGCACAGATTGCCTACTTTACTACAATTAACTAATGACAAATAAGCTAATTTGTAAAACAATCTATCATGATTAAGCCTTTATCCATCAAATTAATTGACAATTGTATCAACTAAGTCTCATGCTATGGCCATCACTAAACACAACTAAAAGAAGTATCTAGTGTAGAGTATAATTCTAAATCAATCACACCTAGACATGCAATTTTCATATAGAATCAATGGAAGAATTAAATTCTAATCATCTAATGAAAAATAAAATCCCTAATTAATCATACATAGACATACAATCAATTGGAGATTTCAATGGAAGAATTCATCAATACAAACCCTAATTTATCAAATCAAGCATGTATATATAAAGAAATCACAAGGCCATATAATTTAATTACAACATAATAATTCCCCAAGAAAAGAAATACAAAGGTTAGGGTTACATGAACTTAGGGCTCATCTAAGTCCTAAGTGAAGAACTAGCTCATGGAGAAGATGATCATGGTGTTAACAAGCTCCATCTCCATCTTTTGGCTCCTTCTTCTTCTTCCTTCAATTGTAGACAAAGCCTCTGTAAAAATGTTCTTCAAACCCTAGCTTTTCCTTTTTCCCAGAGAGAACGTAATATCACGGTACAGAAAAAAATAATAAAACTTAATTCTTCAAATAATAAATCACTAAACTAATAAATACTCACCCTAAAAACAATGGGCCTCACTGGGCTTAAGTAATAAACCTATTAAAGCCCACTAGGTTACAAAATAAGCCCAAACATTAAAATGATCGATCCCCCAGAGTTGGAAAATTCCTTTAAGCCTTATTCAGCTCCATTTTTGCCCCGGGCTATTTGGTTTGCTTCTCCATCTTTGGGAACATCATCAAAGGCCCGAGATTGACCGCTTTGTGCCATTTTCTGAAAATCTTTGCTTAACTCCAAAAAGGCTTAATTGGACCGTTCTTAGCTTATTTTAACTTTATTGCCCTGAAATACACATAAACATAAATTAGGACTAAAACATAAACTTAAGATAGATACAAAGACTGAAATACCCTAGCTTAGGTGCTGATATGTACAACATTTAAGCACTTATCAAGTGGTT